CCTTCACTGTCGTTGATGCTGATGTCATCGCAGAACGCAGATGGATAATCAGCGAGGCCGCTTGCGAGGGCACCGTGATTGCATAGACACGGTCGGGGCTCACGGGAATTGCACGCACATTCTCTTGATGTGTGCTAAGGATAGAGGCCGTGTTCCTGGGATGTTGGCGGAGACTGAGTACTGAAGGGCGATGGAGAAAATTAACGAGGCGTTATTTGTGCGTTGGTGGTCAACGACGATACGGGGGCCAGTGCAGGATCAGCAGGATGGGTTCAGTGCGTTCGCGACCGAACCAACGGGCGTGTCTATTTGCGAGGCCTGTGCGATATGCGGTCCACTCACAGAATAAAGCGAAACGGAGAAGTTGCGTACATCACATCGCGTCCAGTTCGGCCTGCTGTGAAAAACAAGATGCTCTCATCGATGATCAGGCGATATTTGTACTTACAGCTCAATCTATTCACGCGAGCAAGGCAATCAGATTATTATCGTACAGATTTGTACTGTCTCTGATCGCGCCGAAGTCACAATGTTTCAAGTTGGTAAAATCAACGATGGCGCCTTGGTTGTGAGGAATTGCCTTGAAATAGGCCCGTGACGTCTCCGTCGTTCTTACGAGCACGACTTCGAGAGTTTTAAGGTCATTCTGATCGAACAATGGAAGGGGAGAACGGGAATTGGCAAGCTCTGGTAGTTGGCAAAGTTAATGCCCGGCTGGTGACAATGATGTCGCCTGCCAGTGCGTGGTAGACCACGCAGGGAGTCACTGGCATTACCGATATCCATGGTAAGAATGCTTTTCTACATCATACTTATTCAAAGTCCTCTTCCGACGGGCATCATGCTATAGCGAATTCTCAGCTTAGACACACTAGGAAGTCATTGCTTACGGGTTGACACTCCTTTGTGGTTCATGGTGGACAGGCAAGTGCACTACTATGACACATGCTAGGAACGAGGCAAGTTATCCGAAGCACCCTTGGAAGCACCAGTGCACCACGCCGGCGCTAAGGTCGTCCACCAGCAAGACCGCCGTGACCGCCACCGCCCGCGCGCTGATGGGTCCGTTTATCACAGATGGGGTACTGGCAAAGAACGTTGTACGGGCGTGTGGTACTAGGAAATTGCTGTGTCGGTGGAGCATAATATTGTGCCCAGTGGAACTGCCGCCTACTAGGACCACATCTACAGAGACCGCATGTGCTCGCCAGGATGCAGTCAAGAGTTTGACGCCATTGGATGTGTTGAGGACTCGGACGTAGAAAGAAAGATTGCGCAGATGACGTACGCCTTCACATTGGAAATGCAGTGTTCACGGGTGGAAAACTTGAAGTCGTTTATAGATCTCTCAGTCGTGATTTTTGAGATACACGATTAGTATACACATAAATCTACTGCAACGTTAGAACATGAAAAGTCGTCGTCTTACAGAATACATTCACGAGGAAAAGAACCAAACATTCCATCATTAGGGAAATACCTGCAGACCGTTCAACTTCAGGCAGTATCGTAGGTGGGCATCTCGACGGCATCAGGTAGTGAATCCAACACGTCCTTGATGGCCTTGGTAGAGGACACCTTGTCGTACACCGAGCTCCCACACGACGGCTTCTTGCACCGCGCCGTCCAACACGCCTGCGCGCTCGGCCACTCCTCCAAGCCCGTGAGCACAGTATCCCCCGCAGGGCGACGCTCAAGCTCATAGAACATCACATGTTTGAGCTCGCGCCACTCAGCATACGATATAGAATCACGGCAACGCGGGCATCGCGAGGCCGTGGCGTCGCTAAGCTGAGCATCAGTGAGGAAAGGGGACTCAGCGAGGCGCGCGCGGAACTGCGTGCGGCGATTATGGTGCAGCTCGAAGAGGGCGAGGAGGTCGGCGGTGCGGAGACGGAGGAGCGCCGCGCGGTGGGTCGGCCCGTGGAGGTCGAGGACGAGCGAGCGTGTAGACGCTGCGCGCGCGTCGTCCGTCCATCCAAAGTGGCACGCCGCTGCGTAGAGCCGCAATGGCGCGTCGGCGAACACGGGCGTGCGGAGCAGCGCGCGCACGATCGATGCTGGCCCTGGCATGTCGTATTTCTCCGCTGCGTAGAGTACGGGCTCTACGGCGTCCCAGGTGTCGAGCGTGGAGATCTCCAGCCCGCATGCCATGCGTAGGAGCGGTTCTAGGGTGCGTGCGTCTTCGTCTAGCGCGATTACTTCGGATTCGGCGGGCGGAGTGAGGCTGCTGAGCTGCGATGGCGCTCTTGCGGTGGATGGGGACGCGCCTTGTGGGAGGGTGAACATCGCGCGGAACCAGGAAGACGTCATCTTGAGCGTCGTCGAAGGCACGCGGAAGAGGATGCCATCGCGCGAGCAGAGCACGACGTCAGAGTCGAAGGTGAACAACGGGTGATATTTCGGAGCTTCACTGGGAGTTTCATCTGGCTTCTGGTCGGCTTGCATGTTGCAGTAACGGGTAAGGGAAAGATTACTGTACTGTAAATTTAAAGGGAAGGTGGTGGGGGATAAGTAGTGCGTTCAGGGTCTGATAATCCGCGGTAGATGGTAGAAAGTGTCGGAAAGCGTACATCCAATTCTAAGCGCAAAAACGCAGCAATTCAAACGTTTTCGGAAGAGCTTCCCACGCGAAGTCCACAATGTCTGGTTATTCGACAAGTCAACAGTACTACATTTCAAGTTCGTACTGTCCGTCCAAATCAACGTCCCAATGTTCCAATGTTCCTAGACTAGTGTCCAAACAAATCCAAAATATCAACTTGAATGTCCTCTCGTGTTCATCTATTCCGAAAAACGTTACTGTCCAGCGTGGTCATCAAAAAAAGTGTCGCAACGGTATTCATCAGAGAAGGAGAGCTCCAGCGGTGCTACCTGCCAACGCCACCCCAAGTGCCGCGAGGAAAGTGCCCTTGGCAGGCAGGCGCGTACCAACTGGCGCTCCGTTTGACGATGCCTTCGTAGCGCTTGAGCTTGACCCGGTCCGGGTGCCCGTGGGTGTTTGCGACTGTACAGCAGAGTTAGCGGCGAGGCAGGGAGAAGGGCAGTGACGTACAGAAGACGCAGACGTCTTCGTGGTAGGGGTCGAGCTAGCGGCGAGGATATTCCCGATGGAAGACGTCGTGGTGCACGAAGATGTCGCTGGAGCCGGCTGTGCTGCCGGCGTGGCTGGTTCGCCTTGGAAGAACGTCGAGGTACCATACACACCCATCGGCTGCAAAGAGCACCAGTCAGAGATCTACAGAGCGCTCAGAGGTGGACTACGAATCACCGCGCCTGAGTCTCCCGCACACTGGTCGAACCCGGTGCCGTAGTTTCCGGGCATGTTCCACGCGCAGCCCATCTCGTCGTAGATGTGGTTGCATAGCGCCGGTGCAGTCGGGCTATCTTTGCATCCGCGGAAGCAGAACTCAGTCGCGGAAACGAAGTTCTGTCGCAGTGTTACTGGATTGAGATGGCTGGGTGTGAGGTGAGGAGGGGACGACGTACGGTCCACTCGTGCAGTTCCACTAACTGCCCTGTGAATGCACTAGAGAACACAAGGCCACCAATGGGATTGCCTGGACCAATCGGTTCTCAGCCACGCAAACGAGGCCGTAAACTATAGGCGCCTTTACCATTCCCGTCAGCCCCGTGGGGATCCAGTTCTCCACCCGCATCCCCGGCCGGGATATTTATCTTAGTCAAGTCGCCGATGCCTAGAACAAATATAAAGCATTTGAGGGATACAGCGCCACCAGGGAGAGGGAGTCCCTTACCAGTGACTTGTACGTAGTCGGGCGTCTGTACGAAATGAGCTCCCGTGATGGTGCCATCCGGTATGAGGCGTGCGCCGTAGTTGGCCTGCGCCGTAGGGTTAGAGATCTATCTCATGAAATGGGAGGGGGCAAGAAACAACCTGCAAGCAATACGAAACCTCGATTCGCTAAACCCTCTCAACATCAGCATCGGGCTCTATGTCCAAAATATCATTGAATGGACACCTCTGTATTTCCGATGACGGAGCCAGGGCCGGGATCCGGGGGTGCAAATATGCACCAGTCATCTATCGAATTAACTGGATGGGGTAGAGTGGGTCATGGAGGCATTTCAGGTGAAGGAGAGTGGTGTAACACGCACTGTAGGCGTTCTGGCACTGCGACGTTTGGTTGGATCCTGTCCCGCACTGATTCGTGCCCGTTTGTCCTTGCTCAGACTGTGCGGGGGCATTAGATGGGAGATAAGTGGCGGAATATGTCTGTGCGCGGGCGACGCCCAGCAGGGATAGGGCCAAGAGCACGAAGGCGGGGAGAGGTGCCATTTTTGCAGGAGGAGACAGACTCGAAGGAGGTGCCAACCTTGCAGAACCGAGACAGAGACATGTTGAGGGAACTGCCCAGGACGATATTGAAATCGCGTGAGAACGGAACCCATACTAGTTCACATTGTGCCAAGCATTGGCCGTCAATCTGTTCTCTGAGCATGTGTTTGCCTCGTGCATGGACGCAACGTGCCTGGGCCTGCCCGACGCCGCCCGTCTTGGCAAGGCTCCCTCCTGCCATTCCGGGGTCAGGGCTCGGGGGAACAGAACGACGCGAACAGCCAGAAGCTTAATTAATAAGCACCGAGCGCTGAGCTTCCGATGATAAACCGGGCGCACGGAAGCAACTCGCACCGTTATCTCGTCTGATTAATCGGTCAGAAGAGCATCAAGGAGCATTGCACACTGGTAGAGTCGAACGGGTGGGTACGAAAGGCATAGAACTGATCCAAGCGCGGCATGGTTAGGTTAGTCATGGTCAGTTTCGGTTGGCTCGGGTCCAGGCTAGTTTTGATTTGATCGTCCTCTTCATTAGGAAAATAGGGAGCTTGTCTGGCATTTATCCCGATAAGGTGGTCCCGCATAATTTCCGCATGGTCGGTTACAGAGGAGTAGATGAATGGCGAACATGGGTAGTTGGTGGAGAAAAAAGTCGAAGAATTGCGACAGTGCGGCGGACAGTATTTGGGCGCAAAACTTTTGTCCCTGGCCGGAGTCGAGCCGGCGGCTTGACGGTTCTGAGTGACCCACAACGTCATGATTTAACCACTAATCGACAGGGACGCATACCATGGAAGAGTTATGAGGGACCGTCATGAACCACACAACTGCATTGCACACGTGGTAATTAGATTCGATGCAAGTCGGGAGGAAAGTGGGACACAAAAAAAGAGCGAAGCATCCATCTCCAATTACTAGCAAGCTCCGATGAAAGTAGATAGATGTTACGAATACGTTGGTAATAGTACGAAGAGTCGCCGACTTCTTTCTCTTAAAAATAACGGTCATGACACAAAACTCATAAGAACCCAAACATGCCAGAATACATGGGGGACATAAGAATCAATCTTCCTACACTTCCGGCAAATATACGATCCTCTATCAAAGTAATGCATTTCATCGTGCAGGGTTGGGGTCTTCTACCTCGCAAAGAAGCCATTGAAAGGGCCAAGGGGATAATCCCGACGCCCTCCGCCACGCCCGCGCGACGGTGGCGGCTGCACAGGTGGCGGTGGAGGTGGTGGCGGTTGTAGTCTTTGCGGACTAGACTCGCCGCGGGATTCGGCAGCAAGACGTACGAGGCGCTTGAGGGAGAAGTTCTGAACAGGAGGGAAGCGCACAGGGTGCCGACAGGAAGGGCAGGTGTATGTGGGCATGCCACGCGTGCCGTTCTGGAGATGTTGGCTTAGGGTCGTGTTGAACCAGTCCGTGAGACAGCCCTGACAGAAGGTGTGCCCGCAGTTGGCCAAACTGTGCAAAAAGTTCAATATGGCTCCGATCTGGTGGCTGGGGCACGAGACGTACAGGTAAGGCGTCCACATGGCGTGAGTGCATACCTCGCAGGAGAGGGCTTCATCCAGCGTTGACATGCTTAACTACGTTCGGGTGAGGATGCGTAGTGGCCAAGAGGAGGGATGTATACTGACGGTATTCTGCTTTGTGCTTGCCTTCAGCTGGTTCACGGAAGCTGCCAGGTGTCTGTTCTCCCTTTGCAGCCTATCGCAATCCTAGGAGAAGAAAAAGGAAATGCATAAGCAAACGATAGGGTCTAGGCAGATGAAACGAGCAGCATATACCTGCTCAAGTTCGTGGCATCGTCGTTGCAGGCTGTCCGCTTCGAGGTGTTCGTGCTTCGGAAGCTTCTCTTCTGATATTTCGACAATTTCTTCTGGTTTCACGCGCTTGTGTTTCCGTGCAGGGCGCTTGGGTGGCGGAAGTCTGGGTTCGTCTTCTTCGTCGGATGAGATGACGATGACTGGGATATTGTAGGGCCGTTGTGAGTGGGTACGGACGGTAGTCGAGGGGCTGCGATGGGCCGGCATGAGCGTAGTGATGGGGTGTGATGGTACGAGGAGAGATGCTGGTTGGGAGTAAACGGGGACCCGAATTGGTTGGTTGACTGATTCCTGAGTTCCGTTCGGGTTAAAAGCAATTGAGAGGGTGCGTGAGAGCCTCTACGGAACAGGTTTTTGAACACAACCAATGCACCGGCCCGAGAGGTGTTGGAAACTGGCCACGTGCCCTGCTGTATTCGCCACAGCCAAAACCAATAATGGCACGCAGATCCTCGTTAAATGATTCATTTCCGAGCACAGCTACTCAACTACAGTAGCGTTCAGTACGCAGAGGGTGCGACACTGCAATCGCCCACGGGCGACATCTTTCAGTTGTACAAAAAAAGCCTGGCTGATGAGGTAAGTGTATGCGCGCTTATTCCATTGTTCTCCCTATCAATGAGTCGCGTATCGATTTTCAAACCCAGTTATCCCGAGTACGAGTACGAATTGTGGACAGAAGGCGGGATCTATGCGTCTAGTTCAACAATAGCAGGTCGCGACGGTTTTGTGGACAGTTCGAATTCTCTCGGCTGTCGTTACAACCGACGAACACGCGTTCAGTATCCACGTCACTTCGCCATTGCCATTCCCAAAAAGGCCTTCGAGCCACCTTGCCTTCGGCCACGCTGCATGTGGTTGCTTCTCGTCTTTTTTTCGCTTGGTCAGTCGCCACAATCCCGCTTTGACCATGTTGCTTTGTGTGCGTTACATTGTTAGGCCCATTATTTATTTAAGGAGCTGCCTCGTTCGTTTCAATCCCCCAACACAGCCGCCAGCATGCTCGCTGTCTTGTGCTCTTCTCCTCGCCCGCCGTTAGGCGTGGCTATCATCGGCCTCACCATCGCAATGTTAAGTTGGATGCTCCATCTGCTTCCCTACATCATGTTCTGTGGCATGATTACATTGTCCGTTTGGCCATCTTCGCACCCTCCCCCGCCTGAAGTAACATACCAGCCCGTCTATGGACTCCCCAACCATGTTCACGTAGTGTACACTCGCGTTGGTCCCAAGGAAGCCTGGTCATTCAATCTAGACGCAGAACTGCGGATCCTTGTTTTCCTGCTCGCGATCCCGGTCACATCTGTAGTCGACAACGTCCTCTTCTATCCTGCTCGTAGATTTTTCCTTGGGACAATCGAGTGCTGGTTCGACATGCGCTACGTGCACCCTGCTCAAATGACGGGGTCTTGGCCGGACACCTGGACCCCCATCTTCAACGCGCTTCGCTCGTGCGAGTTCGTAGCAGATTTCATAGACAGCGTAACAGGCAAGAGTTCTGGTGAGTTTCTGCCTGGATTAGTGAATTCGTGCTCAATATCTAGCATGTGTAGGCCCAAGCCTGGCCCACACGGCAGAGACGCACAGGCGTGGTGGCTCCAACTCGCTAGCGCAGTCCACCGAACAGAGAGTGCCCTCCCGCCAACGCAAGCGCACCTCGAGTCCTGAACCCATCGTTCACAGTACCCTTGAATGGCGAGTCTGCCGTCTTCTCGACATAGAGCTATCTTTCTAATCCAGTTATAGCACTACAAACGCACCTCGTACAAGGAAGACATTTATTTCGCGTCCGCGCGTTTCGTCGCAGTCGCCCTGGAAAGCTAATGGCCTAGGGTATGTCCGTCGCCTTCCTTCTCCACCGGACGTTGACTCCCTAATAGAGGGATTTCTCCCGTCTCGAAGAACCTCTCACGTATTGTAGGGACGCTTTTCCACCACCCACCACCCCGCAAGCCCACAATACGTCGCCGGACCAACCTCATGGCTAAAGCACCTTCCCCGCGCGTCGCGCCACACATTTTAGATCGCTTATGGAGCAAAAATGAACACAATGTCAAGCCTGCGTATGCGTCCATGCCCTATATCGGGACTGCAATCTGCAATTCTGTCGTCCCTTGGCATGACGGCGCCCAATTGCTACGTTCTGCCTGGGACCATGCCTCCAACCACCTTGTCGCAGTAGCACCAGAGCTTGGTCAACATATTACGGAGAGATCTCTTCCGCTATCCATAGATTCTCGATTCTTCCCTGGAACATGCGAGGCGCTAGCTATCGAGCAAACGCAATTCGAGCAACAACGATATTCGCGTCCCCCTCTTACGTCTCCGCCTCTCCCTGAACTTCCAGTCGAGACCTTAACTCAGGAGTTCGTGTCTGACTGGCAGGGCGAACAATACTTCCAGCCTTGGTCCATGCAAACGCCTCTTCATCATAGATTTCCACACCGAGACCAACATATTACCCCACCTGTTTACGGCCAGCAAGAGCTAGTCCCCCAACCATTCCGTAGTGATCCATCCGGACTAGACTCGGACTTGGTGACGCATGTGCAGGCCCGTGTGCAGCACGGCTCACGCGTGTCAAGCGCACCGGAACGGCCCGGCGCTGACCAAGAAACGCGAGTCTCCTCGTCTCCGGCACCTCTACCCCCATTTTCGTCGCTCCCTGTTGCCCCGCACAAGCAATTCACCTTCCAGTTGTTTAACCATGCCCCGATATTCCAGTTCTCTCAGGATGCCCCACGGTTAGACCATAACCCCTCGAGTGCCCCACACGCGCGCCCAGCGACACCGCCAATGGCCCGCACCACTACGGCGGTATTCGTGCCCTGCTCGACCTCCCAGGGCGAATCCTCGCACTCCGTGCCATTTGACGCGCCACCTGAAGCGATGACTGTTGCATTGCCTGTATTACAACAACCGTTCTGGGGTCTCGGAGTCACCGGGACGTTCACGTTCGAGGTCTCCCAAATGACACCTTACTTTGACTTTTCGCATCACGTCCGGCCCCCCTCTCCCATTCCTCACCAACCCTCTGCCTCTGCGGAACAGGCAAGCCCAGCAACAAGTGAAACCGCAACGCCAGATGCCGAAACAAGTACCACGGGCGCGAAAATGACCGTAGACAGCGACGACGACGACGACGATAGCGGCTCAGACTCTGACTCTTCAGATTCTTCCGACTCTGACTCTGACTCGGACATGGACTCTGATTCTGATTCTGACTCATCTGACGATGATAGTGATTCCGATTCCGACTCTGATTCGTCTGAAGATGAAGACGATGCTATGGCCACTGAGTCCGTCTGCAAGAACTCTACCCGTGCTTCGGACGCGCCATCCAAAGCTCAGGACGACGTGCAGCGTGCCCCTGCTGACAAGGATTCCTCCGCCCCCACTCCCACCCCCACCAACGACGATGAAACTGACTCCGACTCCGATGGGTACTTTGAGCATATATCTACTCCCGCTCCACCTGGCGCGCCCAACGACGACGACGACGATTCGTCCGACGAGGACATGAGCGATCACGAAGAAGAGTATCGGCAGTACTGGGAAATGTTTTATACACCACGACATCGGAGGCAGCCCCAGGTCTCAGTGGGATCGGTATGAGGATGAGGATTTCAGATGGAGATTAATTTTCTTGCGTGCGCTCGTGACGCACTGACGACGGCGACTTGGTTTCGTCGCCACTCTTGGTTCTTGGCCTAACTCTCCCCGTCGAACGAGCGATGGATACGCCTCACCCGTTCGGCAACGCTGCACCCGCTACGCTATATCGGGAATGGGACAAAATAATTTTTGTCCTCGTTCCTCGCGCACGGATGAGGGGAGGAACGCCACGAACGACACGGCGATATCCACGTGTTGGAGGATCGGAAGGTCGAGCTTGCGGTGACCACATTTTCTTGTCTTTACGCCTTTCCGCATGTTCGATATTATTTC